GGACGAGATGAGCGCGTTGGCGCAGAGCCGCGCGTCGCGGCGCGTCGCGAGGAAGGCGACGAGCTCCGCGAGGTCCCAGGTCAGGACCTCGCAGGGCGCCGCGGCCTCGGTCGTCGCGAGCTCCGCGAAGGCGGCCGCGGAGTCGAGGGGCGTCGGCGAGAAGGAGCGGCGCCTCGTGGGCCCGTCGGCGGGCGGGATCGCGTCGAGGTGCTGCGCCAGCTGGTCGCCGTTGAGCAGCGCGCCTCGGCGCACGCGACGCGCCGACCTACCGAGCACGACGGTGACGATTTCTCATTGTTTTCCCACCCAAAGTCTCTCGAAACTCGTCACAGCCACAGGACGCTGGCGCCGACCCGTCCTCGGGCCGCGTCACGAGCGCGGCGCCGTCGCAGAGGAGGCCCACGCGGTGCGACGGGAGCGGCTCGCCGGGCGCGAGCGCGGCCCAGGCCGGCGCGAGCGCCGCGCCGCCGACGAGCAGCTCCGCCAAATGCTGCGGGGCCATATCGAGGCCGCCGGCGCGCTGGATGACGCGCGCGGCGAAGAGCTCGCGGTCGCTGAAGGGCCGCGCCGGCGCGGCGTTCCGGTACCGCTCGAGGGCCAGGTAGACGATGGCGCCGAGGTTGATGGGCACCTGCGCCGCGGACCAGATGATCGACGACCAGAGGCGCACGTCGCGGAACCAGAAGAAGGCCGTCTGCATGACGGCTCCCGTCAGCGCGACGACGTTCAGGAGCAGCGGGTCCGACACGGCGAAGGCCCCGGTGATGAGCACCTGGGACCCGTTGCCCAGGAGCTCGCCTATGCCCTGGACGGCGAGCGACGCGACGAGGCCCGCGCCCGCGACGCCCAGCGCCAGCTGGCGCGCGCGGAGCGCGAGGCACGCGCGCCGCTCCCGCGCGCGCTCCGCCGCCGGCCGCGTCGTCCGCGCGGCCGTCTCGCCCGCCGCGTCGCTCCCCGCGCGCTCGCGCGGCGACGCCTCGACCGCGTAGGGCGCCTCGACGGCGGCGTAGGTCCGCGGCGACACCGCCGCGCGGTAGAGCGTACCGCGCTCAGCGCGCGTCCCGCGCACAAAGTCGACGACGGCCTCCATGGAGTCCTTGCGCATGAGCCGCTGCGACGTCGTCGCCGGCGGCGGCGTCGACGGCGGCGACGGCGGCGGCGGGCTCCGCCGGAGGCCCGGGAAGAGGCGCCGCAGCGGGTTCGTCGACGCCGGAGGCTCGCGCCGCGAGCTCGCCAGCGCGACGAGCGGCGTCGGCGAGCTCCGCGCGACGCTCTCCTCGCGCTCCATCTTCGCGTAGAGGTCGATGGCCACGGCCTCGCGGAACGCGTCGAGGAGCTCCGCGTCGCTCCGGAGCGCGCGCGCGAGCGTCTCGACGGGCCACGCGAGGCACGTCGCGCCCTCGGCCTCGTCCGCGCGCGCGACCGCGACGTCGGCGACGTCCCAGGACACGCGACAGGGCGTCGTGCCCGCGACCGCGTGCGACAGGCTCGTCTCGCCGACGAAGGAGCCCGGGTGCGCCCGGAAGACGACGCGCCCGTCGCCGTTGATCGCGTCGACGCCTACCAGGGGTCGCGTTTCGCCGGATCTCTCTCGAACATCGCATCACAAAGCGCGACGGTTACGCGGCGTCCCTCGAACGACGGCGCGGCCGCGGGACGCCGGTCGGCGCCGCCCTCGACGACGAAGTAGAGGCGGCCGCACTCGCCGTGCTCGAGCGTCGCGACGGTCTCGCCCGGCGCGACCGTCACCCAGGAGGAGCCGCAGCGCCGCAGCACGCGCGCGATCTTCCGCGACGGGATCGCGTCGAAGCACCGCTGCGTGAGCGACAGGGCCAGGAGCTCTCGCTCGCTGAAGCTCACGGGCGCGACGTCGAGCGAGAGCTTGACGCACTGCGCCGTGCAGATGCAGGCCTGCAGCGACGTCCAGAAGAAGAAGATGAGCACCGGCGGCCGCTGGAGCAGGTAGAAGAGGTCCGACGACAGCGCCGAGGCCAGGCCCACGGCCTGGAGCCGCAGCGGGTCCGTGAAGCAGTAGACGAGCAGCGCGCTCGCCTGGCTCACGTGGCCGAGCAGCAGGTCGAGGACCGGCGGTAATATGGGCGACATCGCGCCGAGACGCGATCAAATCGAGCTGCACCGAGACTCGATCAAATTGAGCTTGAGAGCTCAGCCCATCCTGCTCGATCGAGGGCATCAAGAGCTTCAAGAATCTGACAAGATGAATCAATGGTGCAACTCGAATCACCGCGCCGTGTAGACCCCTATCGCTGCCCCTCGCCGTCGTCCACGATCGTATACTACATCGATAAACGCAGCCAAACGCGAACTCGGCGGTTGGCTAAGTTAGGGTCCGCGCGAGCGAGCGGGCGGGGGCGGCCCGCGCCGCGGACGACAGGAGCGACGACCGAGAAGAACGAACGAGAGAGCGGAGGCGGCCGCGC